AACCCTATTGTATAAAATATGATAATTTTCAGCATGTAAATAAAAAAAACAGCTGAGATCACTTTGCAGGATTCCCTTGTAAAACATCCTTAATTTGTCTCAGCCCAGCGCCACTATTCATAAGCATAGTAATATTATCTTCAAAATATAATGCTGTACAAATTATACACCGTGTGACTAAATAAATGTTTATCAGCATCAGGTAACAATTCGTTACCAACAGGTCGAAATTAACAAATGGGCGATGGCAACTTGTACCCATTACGACCAGATCCACATAGGTGTATCTTGCTCCGTTTTACTAATGTGGAGTTTCGTGGAAAAACTTAAAATTTACGGTGCATAAATTTTAAAATTCCAGAATTTTGTTAATTCTATTGTAATCTGATTATGTTCGACACCTACCTCTTTTTCTAAGCAAGTTAATTAACTCGATGTGTAAAAAACAGATATTTGTTATTTTTCGTAGTCATGTTGAAATTTAAAAATTTAATACATTTACACCAGTATATGGTAAAATTTACTAAAATTACTGGAAGCAGTATTATTTTGGTTGGATAATTCAATTAAAATCTTTATATAACGTTTAACGATTAACGTTATAAATTTACATTTTTATTTTTATTAATTTCACTACACTACAGAAAAGTAATTTCCTAAAATTTGAATAAATTTTAGTTTTGCACATATTATGAACTAATTATTTATCAATATGGAATTGTAAATCTATGTATACAAATTCCGATACATTATATAAAATATATTTTAATTCCAAAATGCACAATTTTAGATCCACATAAAAGTTTTATCTCAATGAATGAAACAAATGCGTAAATTCCAAATATTGCCAAAAATTGTGACCACAGAGCTATGGTCGAACTTTTTTTAAAAGTCTCTTTTTTCCTAAAAGGTTAAGTGCCAGCTAATGCTAATAAGCACGGTCGGCCACTTTAGCGCACATCAAAATTATCAAAGAAAAGAGACTTTTAATAAAAATTCTACCATATAATACATATAGTATGCATCCTGAAAGTCGACCACACAAGGAGGCAGTTTTTGTTCTGTATTCTGTAATTCTGTATTCTCCTATCTGGAGAATCCAGCAAACCAAAAAGTATTGACGGCGCATTCCAGTTAATCTACATGAAGGAAGGGAATAAGTAATCAAATCGCTACGCCATTCCTGAACTAAGTATAGTCTTTTAGCTTAAATTGCTTAACTACAACCTCAGATATATTGCGTCTAGTTTCGTTGTATGGAAATAAATAAAACTCGACTCAAAATTATTTTGTTGATTTTACATATTCATTTAGTTGGTCGTGAAATTAGGATGTACCTAAACGGTCCCGTTGTTTGTGCACCACTCACCGCGTACATGTTTGTGGCTTTCATGTCGAAGTACGGACTCGCAAACCAGGGTTTCGTTTTGAACGCCTAAAACCTTTTGACCAGGCAAGATGGCAAGGAGGAGGGAAATAGCTTTCAATATGATACCACAACATTGCCCTGGCTTTTCTATCCCATATACAGTTAGGTCACCCCGGAAAGAACATACATACAAGGTGGCAAAAAGAAGGTCAAAAAGAGCGAACAAAAAAGTTTCAGAGGCAGTTTTGACGCGAGTTCAAAAAAGTGGCTAGCGAAAAGCGTCTAAAAGACACTGGACGCCATCCGGTAGAAACTGGTTCTAACCGAAACACTCCAAAACCAAAATGTGAATAGCGCCCCTCCTTTTTACTTGGTGTCATTTTTTAAGTAGCGCGCGTCGAAATTAAAGCGGGAGGTCAAAATCTCATCAAGTATGTGGAATTATTCTCCAAAGTGAAAAAATTAATACAGAACGAATTCCATGATTTTGCAAGTATGCCAAGTCGATGGGAGAGCATTTTGCAACGATTTTAATCCATTGCATTTTCCCCATCCACATTTTCTGAATAAAAACCGGAAGAGAATTTGAAAATAAGTTATTCAAAATGCACGCGTTCAAACAAAATTCCTACCTTAATAAAAATTTGACGAAACGATTCGTCCCAGTTGTTCCAATTTATTTTAAATTAACCTTTTTTGAGATAGTTATGGATTAAATCATGATCATTGCCAATTTATAATTGAAGGCTTGGCAGTCGCACCATATACGTACATTCCAGTTATGAATGTATTGTTCAAAAGGTCACTGAGAGCATCTGTTATATAGTAATGGTATACATTCATGGATCAAATCATGTCTAAGGATAAGATAATCAACAAATTAAATTAAATCTGCCATTTCTCCATCCACGTCCCATCCCATTATGTAATCTTCTATGTATGTATGTATTCATGACCAGCCAACCACCACCACCACCAATGCATATGTATGTACCTTACACAGCTTTGATTTGCAAAATATAAATTCCCGTGATAATACTGCATACTTCATATTTGCAAATTCATGCATATTATCCTAATGCGGTTGCAACATGACATATGTTCACTTTTATTTTGCATATCTATGGACTTGTACAAGTATATGTATTAATGTGGATGAGAATGCATGAATGAGTGTATGTATCTCTGTTTTATTTCATACATAAAGTTAAAGCCGTTGTTGAAGTAAAAGATAAGCTCATACATTATCCAATATTCAGCAATAGTAAGTCCAGCCACATAAAAACCCACTACTGACTAAATAGATAGTGTGAACTGCCAAGTTAAATAGTATTTACGCTCAGTGTGAAAATAAATGTTTAATTGAAATTCAAGTGTATTATTTTAATTCACAAAGTTGACAAAAAAGAATTGATTAGTTCCCACAAAAATAAATTTTATTTTTTAAAACGGGAGTCAAACCAAGTGTAATAAATAAGAAGGTGAATTTAAGAGAGAATTTCATTTCATTTAAGGATATGATAAAACTGAAACTGACAAGGGAACGGTAAGTACTGTAACTCATGGATTCGCTTCTAGTTAGGCTAAGTATGCACATACCTATTTACGATTTATAAGATTGAATTTCCTATATCCATTAAATTGTTGCATTATTTGTATTTTTATTAAATTATTCGGTCCATGCTTTAGCGTCCAAGGAGTTGATTTTAAATTTTAAATATGCAATTACCTAATGCAACCAAGTTTAAAGTCAAACATGAATTAAGGAGATTTGTGACACTTAAACAGTAAACTGATTGAATTGCCGAACCAATCTTAATAGACATAATCCCTTAAAATAGTTTAATAAGGCTCGACATCTTAAATGATTGTCAATATCAAGACTCGTAAAACCATGGGTATTGTGGTTTTGGGATTTTTGCTTCTAATACCCGGGGTATTCATATACAAAAGTATACCATTACCCGAAAACCCCAATAACCCAATATCCGGGTATTGGGGTTTTGCTTTAATACCCGAGGTATTCGGGGACCCTGGTTGAGAGGAAATAAAGCATGATAATAAACAATTTAGTTTTTGCTACAAACTTATAAGTTTACAAACCAAAAATTCTTAAATATGCAATTGAAGTCATACGTATAGCCGTTTGAATGGACTATGTATAACCGAACACTTATCTATCTATATTACAAAGTAATTATCAAAAAGTATTCTAAATCAGTTCAAACTATGTGGAGCATTTTTCCACCCATTAATTAAATAAATTTTACCAATTTTACCAAAATAGTTCTGAAACATACCTTGTCTTTCACGACCTACTTACCGACAGAAATGTGAGATGCACTACAATATTTATTACGGCGTCAAATCTGTATTACTCTGAATTTAGCAAATATTTCGAAATTAATTGGCTTTATTGATTGTTTTTGTTTTCTGGTAGCTTGCTATTAATCTGGCTACAAATTACTTCAGTTTCGTATGTAGTAAGTTTGCAAAGATAATGGTAATAAAAATGTGAGATGCTATAAAAATAATTAAAATAAAACAAAAAAGTACTGTACAATACTTTTTTGTTCAAATTATAACTTGTGGCTAATTCAATATAAGGAGAATGTTTTTGAATAGTGAAATTAACAAATTATGTCCATCGCCTCATAGTGCGCCGTCTGGTACATAAGTCTTGTTATTGATTTTGCGTAGTCGATTTGTAGATTCCTATACTTCAGTTTTTTAACACAAAGCCTACTAAGAGAATCGCTGGAAATCTGCATTGTAAATTTCCCAATTTTGTAATTAGCATATATTATTCCATCAATGTACCGAAAAGCAATTTTTATTATACTTACAACACGTTGCAAATATAAACTCTATATAAGTTTATTTACTAAATTTTAAGAATTTTAACCTATTAAATAGTTTATTAAATAAGTAAACAAATAAATAAGTAATAAGTAATCGAAAGCTTGACACCATTTAGAAAACAATAAAGTTTTCATTTTGTTACATCCATAATGTCCGTAACAAACATTTCTCCTTATTAAATAAGTATTTTATTATATTTTAATATAAAAGTAGTTCTGAAATATGTATGCAGAAATGGAGAACGATCTTTTCCTGTACAATAGAGTTGGGCAATACAGCGAAATATTTATTATGGAGTTAAACATACACTGGTCTGATTTTTTGCGAGTGTTGCAAATTTATTTTGTTTAATAGTTTGATGTGTGCACGACCAAAAAATTATTAATTGTAAAAGATTGTAATGTAAAAGGATTAATCCACCTAATATTATGTCACCATCGAATTTCTAAGCTAATCCTAAGACTTAATCTACGTCTACGTATTAAGATTAGCACATAGAATTTGAGGTGACCAGAAATAGTACGAAAGATCGATATTAGGGAGGTTCAGATCTAAGCAGATTTCCAAAACTGCTTCCATTTCAGCTTGGTGACGTCACGGATGACGTCACTGTTTTTTGAGTGAAAATATCAGTTTTTAGGATGATTTTAGTGACATCTTTTCTAAACTTAATTATTTCGCAAATCTAAATATGTACATATTCATATTCTCTATTCAGTTTTAAAACAAAAGACGTTTGCACAGTTCAATTTAGTGAACTTTTGAATTTACGTTTATTTATATGCAAAATTAGAAAAAATTTCAAAACCTTTCAAAAATGTGCATATCACATATCAAAATTTTCAGAATTTCGTGAAGATGATGAATATGAAGTCCAACCTGGAAAATATGGATTATTAATAAAGTTAACTAAATACATGCGCACCTGCATATTTTCCCATTTTGGACGGTAAAAACCACTTTTTCCCATAGTTCCCGCTTTTTCCCACTACTCATGGGAAAGATAGTTTCGGACGGCAAAAACGAAACCCTGATTTGGAATATTTCAAATATAAGTTAACGGTTATTACGCGGAAAATTCCAACCCATAAAAGAATTATCTTTAAACGTAAGAATGGTAAAAGCGGGTTTTAATTTTTTTAACTTAATTATATATTTAATACATTGCAAAATTGTTTTGGGAATAATAATCAAGAGCGTAATTACTTATTATCTAATAGTAGTTGAAATTAGTCCTAGCTATGATATAAGACAATAAAAATTATAAAAATTCGTTTAAAAGAACAAATGCCGATGCAAATACCTGTAGTCATACCATGATGATGTTGTTCAGTAAGAAATGTGCTTGTCACTCATTGTTAAGGTATTATGACTTTTAATTTCTTAAATTGTTAACATAATAAGGGCCTACAAAAGTCCTGGGAATTTTTGAAATTTTGTTATATAAATTAATTATACTGGGTTTAAGGTTTACAAATGTTCCCCTTATATAAAGGGGAACATTTAACCTAAGAGAGGTTCAGATTTTATATACTTACTAGCAATTAAGCCCGTCGCAAAACGGGGATACTGTTAGATGTTGCGATATTGTTAATGATATAATTAAGGGTAATATATACATACATATATATACACATATATATATATATGTCATAATTTAACGTAGACTTTTATGTCAAATGTAATATAAACCAAAAAAAACATTGTACTGCTTAAAATATTTATTCAATCTTTAAACTTTAAACGTTTAAACTTTTTCATAAACCGTTGTAATTAATTATAAAAATACATAACAAATGGATTTTTCCTTAATTATATAGAACTTCACGGGAAACTAGATTGACAGTAAACACTTTGCCATAACTTAGGATAAGCTGTCTACAAAAGAGAGTCTTATAGTTACGTTTTTGATTATATTTCAATAGAATTGCATTCCCTAGAGTCTTGTGGAGGTCGGCGTATGAACAGTTTTCTCGAAAAAAGTTTATCAGAATACTTATGGTAATTTGCGAGCAATAGCCTAAAAACTATAGGAAATAACAGATTCTTACCGCATAACGTACATGATCTTAGTGCAACGAATGTTGAGATGCATGAATCCTTCATGGCGCCAGGATTGATCACCCAGACGTCCATGAAGGTCATTCTTCATTAATTTATAAATATTTAATTAGGGGAGGATTTGTTAGAGACGTCTAACAATTCCTCCAACATTGGGTAGTGGAGAACTCTCCACAGGATATGGAAATTTAGTGATAAGATTATTGGTGGGTGGATGGTAGTTGAAAGAGAAGTCGAGAGAGGAAATCTCCGTAGTTTTAGTTAATTAGTTTTAAGTATTAGAATGGTGATGTCGTGCTCTTTCCTCCACTCTTGCACAGACTTGTAGATTTTGTAAATACCTTTTTTTTCCTTAGCGTAATAAATTAACAGTTTGCATTACAATCTTCCTTTTGCTCTCCCAATTCAAAAAGCAGCTATTTAATCAAAATCATAAAATTTATTTTTTCTCAGCATGCAAACGGTCACATTAGTTTTCGAGAGTCACATGATGAGATTGAAATTGTGTAATTGTGAGATTTTTAGACTGAGAGCTTGGGATTGAGATTTAGATTAACATTTGACCCCGCAGAATACATTAAGATTTCTAATTTGTGTGGACAAATTTCAGATTCAACTGCAAGCATTATCCTAAATTGCTCGTCCATGAAACTCATATAACATATATTACACATATAGATAAACATTTATGGAAAATATGAGCCATTTCTATCCAATACATTTCATACCAACTACAATTACACATTATACATAATTTCCTATAACTAATGAATTTCAAACTTAGATAACTAATTTTGTATTGGATAGATTTTCCTAATTATTCTTACTACATAAAGACAAGGTCCTAAACTACAATATCCAATATGATTTGACGATGAGCCATTCTTGGTTTAGCCTACAATCTTACTTAAACTTATCACTACGGGATTTGACACATTAACGAACTTTAAACTTAAATTACAAATTCTGTATTGGATAGATTTCTCCAATAATTGTACCAAATTAATACAAGACCCTTCACTACAATATGTACTATAATTTGACGAGGAGCTATCTTTCGTTTTTCACCAAAGTTATTAAACTCGACACATCTCATTCTGTGACATATGTTAATCAAAATCTTCTTGATTTGGGCCTCGTTTTGATGGTTAAATTTTCCAAAACGGTTACCTACAAGCAGAGATATTCCCGAAAAACTGTTATTTTGAAGTATAACATTGGCTTATGGGAAAAGTCAGAAATATTATTTATAACCAGTATATATTTATGGTTAAATATATTGGTTCAATAACTTTAGCCAAATGTGGCCGATTTACAAAATTAGACAACCAAAATAATCCCTGAGCTAAGACGGTTGTGTTACTCACGGTTTTAATGTGGGTTCACTTTGCCCCAAATCAATTGTTTCCACTGCACGTTAAAAACCACTTTTGGCCATTCTTCCATTTTTGACCACCTGGGCTGGTTAAAAAGGTTTTGGACGTCCAAAACGAAACCCTGCATTTAAGCCAGCTAAATAATTTTTTTTCCAAATTACCTCCGTAGTTTAGAGCAGGGTCAGAATAATTCCCACATCTCGTTAAAATGGTCAAGCTTTGCATGTTGAGGTAATCTTGGAAAAAATTAATTTAACATTTAAAATTCAATTTGGTTCCATTTGGTGGTCTCATGCAGAGTTTACAAGATTTTTAGCATTCAGTGGGACCAATTCATTAGTTTTTATTTCGCAGGCTTTACTAACATGTCCGGAATAGAGGTGACCCTCATATACGGAAAGCCCGTCCTCCTCGTCCGTTCTTCCCCCATTCTACAAATGTGTCAATGGTTGACCAAAGTGGAGACTATGATGGCGGCGATAGCAAACGGGGATCACCCAATCGTCGAAGTTTGTTTCATCGGAACGCACCAAGTTCAAATTGATTCCAACCTCAACCTTCATGACTGGCATGGGAAAAACGTTATCGTCATTTCAAAGCGGGTCCAAGTAATGAAAACTTGTCACTGGGATGTCTCCGGGGTTCATGGGGCCCATGCTTCAAACCAACGGGCGAAAGACGGGCAAAATCCTGGCGACCCGGGGGAAAACGGGGAACCCGGGCGGGATGGAGAAAACAGTGGAAATGTCTACATCCTTTCCGAAGAGTTTGAGAACCCCCATCTTTTACAAATCAAAGCGAATGGGGGACCTGGAGGAAACGGTCAACCGGATGGAAATGGGGTTGATGGTAAAAAAGGAAAGGATGGATTCGCCTTGACCTTGAACCAGTTGAAGGAGCAGTATCCAGTATTTCCGATTTACTATGCCTTTAGTGAAATTGAATCAGGGTCTGTTAGCACCAGAGATGAAGTAATTCGAAATTTTCCAACGGCCAGATTCATGGAAGCAACAACAGCGGAGGGAAATCACGTCACATGTTCCTTCTACAGCGGATTAAACACACATAAATACCTGTTGTTCAAAGGGGCTAAAGGTGACCCAGGGACGGAAGGGGGTCTACCCGGAAGAGGCGGTATTCCTGGGCATGGTGGATTCGCTGGAGTAGTGGAAACATTCAAAATCACTAGTTCTACCCAACTAGCAGTTCAAGAAACCCAAACCCTGCTTGAAGCCAACCCGGGTAAAAACGGAGTTAGAGGTGTGTTGGGTAATAAGGGGAGGAATGGAGCACCGGGAAATGATGGTCTGGACGTGGGATTTGTTTTGTGGGAAAATCTTCTACTACCTCGCCATACGATTTATCATGGACCGGGACGATTGAAATTGGAAAAGTGTGAAGACCCCAACGATTCAAATTATCCCGGGGTTTCGTGCCCTCGATCCTCCAGCTATGTCAGAATTTTTGCCGAATCAACCATTCCAGTAACCATGATTCCAAGAGATGAAGTTGTCCAGCTTAAAGGTCAGAATATTCCTCCGATTTTATCTCGGCGTCAGGATAATATCTCCATCAGTAGGGAGCAACTTCGGACACTTTATCTTCCCGTGTGGACAAAATTATTGTCTGAAAATTCTCACAATTTGGATCCTGAACTTTCTCCTCTCACCGGAGCAACGGATAGTCAAAGGTGAGTTTCAAACTTTTTACGTTTCTAATTTACTATCTAGATAGTGATTGATTGAATTTGAAATTTATTCCCATTTCATTCGGGGTTCCATATTCCAGACTTTTACAATTAAAAATCTATGAAATTTTGGAAATTTTACTGATTGACACCACTACTCTGTGCAGATCATACCCGGTAGGAAACCTTGACCTGTTGAAAGTCAAGCCAAAAAAATTGCCCCAACCCAAGAGTATTGAAGGATAAAACCAACATTGACGATAAAAAGTAATTCTTATAAAACTAACACTGCCATCGAAATACACCAACCTGCTAAAATAATCAAAGCACTAAAAAAACACATGCACCAATCTTCCCTTCCTGAGCTACAATTAATCATAATCACCCACGGATTCAATAGCAATGCGGAAAAAAGTTGGGTAAAGGAGATTCAAAATAGGATTTTGCACCACCATCGAAACTACATTGTGGCCCGGCTGGATTGGAATAATGGATGCAACTACTGGACACTGAAGTAAGTTCGTTACACCCGTTACGTAACTTGTGATCAGTGTACGATTAAAAAGAAAAAAGCAAGCAAAGGTTTTCCCTACGTTGCTTTTTTTGCTGTTTTCGTGCTTTTTTGATTGTTTTCTGGAATTCCATCCGCGCCATCTCTGGACGTCCATCTAACAATACCGTATATTCAAAATATGCAATATTTCACATTCAAACATACTTTTATCAAATTCGGATGGATGTACTGAACATTTTGGTATATAAAACTACAAAATCCGTTCACTATAACGTTAGATATTGTCCACAAACATGATTTTCATGCTTTTTTCGAATTTCCACATGGAAATTCTAAACTTTTTTATCTTGCATATTCCATACTTCTAAGGAGGAGGGGTTCAGGTATTGCGACTCGCAGATCCTTTTGAAACTTTTACCATTTCCATCCATTGATAAGTTAGGAAGAAATCTAAATTTTTAGGATTCGCTGGCCACCCGTTCTAAAGGTTTTGACCTTTGACCTCAAAATCCATATGCACACATGTTAAGTGAGTTTCATGCTTCAACGCCCTATAACATATTTAATTTAAGAATAGTTTTGGAAAATATCTAATTTGATTGACTATATTAAAATCAAATCAAATATATTGTTCGGCGTCAAAATGTGAAATTTGCTTAACATGTGTGCATATGGATTTTGAGGTCAAAGGTCAAAACCTTTAGAACGGGTGGCCAGCGAATCCTAAAAATTTAGATTTCTTCCTAACTTATCAATGGATGGAAATGGTAAAAGTTTCAAAAGGATCTGCGAGTCGCAATACCTGACCCTCTCCTCCTAAGCATAGATATTGATTGCACTGACTCACAAAATGTTCCTAGAGATAAAATTTATTGAAAATTTGAAATTTTTTAAATCAAGCAAAAAAGCAAGAAATTTTATTAAGCAATAAAGCAAAAAAGCTACTTTTTTTTTTGGGAGTACTCTGCTTGTGATTACCACCACAAACGATCAAGTTTACAATAATCTCAAGGTATGCCATGTAATGCCGTCTTAATGAATTAAAGGTACGGCCTATCCGCTGCGAACTGTCTGGAGGTTGGGAGGCTGCTTGGAGAAATGATTGTGAGCATTCGGGAGGCCTTCACACAACAAAATATTTCCTCCTATTTTTGGGGCATCGGTCACAGCCTGGGTTCCCATTTGATGGGTGCGGCAGGGCGATACTGTCGTTCCTCCCACGAACCTCCCATTCTCATGGACCGAATCACCGGACTTGACCCGGCAGGGGTTGGATTTGACGAACATTTCCCGGAAAAGATGCTCTGTCCAGGGGACGCCGTCTTTGTGGACGTTATTCACACGGATGGACGTGGCCGTAAAGAGGAAACACCGCCACAAATTGTCAACGCAACCAAGGCAGAAATTGATGATAGTGGAATTGTCCAGAATTTTACAGACATCTCCGCCTACGGAACAAGGATGACTTGTGGTCATGCCGATTTTTATCCTAATCTCGGATGTTGTCAACCCGGATCCGAAACGCACACCACGGAGAACTGGACGACCGGAACAGCCAGTCATAGCCGGGCGCATGCTCTTTTCTCACAAAGTATTGGCAACAAAGGAAGATTTGTAACGAATCGACAATTCGAAAAACCACCAGAAATTAACAAGCCACTCCCAACAATTCATCAGATTCCGGCTACAGTGGAGATGGGATTTTATTGTGATTCTCCCACCCGGGGTTGTTTCGCCCTCGATACGACGGAAGGTGGGACATTTATGAGTGATGAACTACTTAAAATGAATTCCGGTGGGGATGGCATTACCCCAGATGACATCAGTGACGTCTTAAAGAAAATGGTTAAGGGTGATGTAAGTTTGTTGTTCTTGTGCTGTTTTTAGCAGTGAATACAAAACGTTTTTATAAATTTTTATGAATAGTACATTCAAAGGAAGGAAAATGCACGGTTCGCCTTGATCATCAACATTATTGATTACGATCATAGCCACAGTCGTGGAAAACGCCATGGAGGGGAAAATGACACCGAAAATTTGAGACAACTGCTGATTAACCTAAAGCATAATTTTGCAGTGACTGCAACAAATCGGAAGAAATGCACAAAAAGGGTAAAGAAAAATTTGGTTGTGAGCAGAATGTCGATGAACATTTGAAACTTTCCTGAATTTGCAAACCAAATCTTTCTTTTGAAATATTTACATTGTGAGAGCTGAATATTTATGTATATATTTTCAGGATGTGTTGGTAAAATTGGACAAATTTCTCTCCGACATAGGGAGTGAGGAAAGGAGAATCGACGCGATTATTGTAGCGGTGATGGGCCATGGTTTAGAAAATGATAGAATCATCACAAGTGACGGGGAAGACATTCATATTTTCAAGGAAATCCTGGAACGGTTTGGAAACCGCAAATGTCCCAAGTTGGAGGGTGTTCCGCAAATTTTTCTTATACAAAAATGCCGGTATGTGCAAAGAAACGCTTACCATAAAATGTCACTGTTCAAAATTTCGCATCAACCTTTTAGTGGGGATCACTTGGATATTTCACTAGAAAAAGCGACAAACGGGTACAAAAAATTAAGGGCGTCCTTCGTCTTATTGCTGACCAAGTTAAGTTTTTTTATTTGAATTCATTGAGTAGGGCAGCTGCACAAAAAGATAAATCTATCCAGAAGGAGTCGGAGGAGGAATTAATCAAGCCCTTCTCGCCCGTGGAAAATTTCCCAAGTGGAACTGTAATTACTTTAACACAACTTTATTTGGATTATTTAAACAAATTTAACCGAATTTTATACCCTTCCAGAGCCGCACTCTTCCGGAAATGTCGGATAGTCTAATCGTTTTTTCTTCATATCGCGGTAAACTCTTGGGAAATTTTAGTCTACCTTTATTTATTCTTCAACTGTAATAGGCTCTGCGTCCGTCCGATACGGGAGAAAGTCTTGGTTCATTCAATTATTTATTCAAAGCGCCAAAGCAGCAGTAGAAAAAGGAAGGACGGAAATCTCATCCCTTCTGAATGGGGTAAGTTTTAAAAATTCGGGGACAGCCGTGCTTCAGCCCGAGTCAAATTTTCAAAAATAAAACGTTGTAAACGTCAGAAAGAGCTGCAAATTTACAACTTGGTTTGTTGAGCAATTTGAAATCGATTTGAAAAGTGCAAAGAGAGTAATCGTTAGACAGACAGAGAGACATAGCAGGTACATAAGCCTTGGCTCGGGCTAGAGAGAGGGAAATTCAAAAAAATCCACCGGAATTTATTCCGCTAAATGAGCTTGTTTCATTCAACAGATTGTGGAGCACGCCAAGGGGAAGGATCACATAGTTGAAGATTGCAGTGTGGGGCACAATCATGTTTATATTAAACAACTTCCGGTCATTGAAAATGTTGGATTTACCAAAAACTTTTACTTCGAAAAGAAGATGTAAACCCCAAAATTCTATCCGCGAAATAAATTTGAACGACGATCTGTATTATGCTGAAATAGTTTTACGGTGGATTTGTATTGGTATTTCGTAAGAAATAATGAAAAGATATGAAAAATATTAAATTTTCTCAAGGAAAAAGTTGCAAAATTAAAGATCCAGCTTATGTTTGACAACATATTTTGTATTTTGTACATAATGCGTGTAATCAAGTAATTCATGTACTACAAACTGATATTAATAAGATTAGATTGATCGGGAATTAAATTAATTTAAATTAAATGCATAATATTTAAATTGAAAAATCTTTGGGTAACTGGATAATTTTCATCATGATAGTTTCCACTTTTTCCACAACATATTCAATGGGCATTAAGATCTGGCATTGCAAACTTGCGACGTTGTGCTCCTTAGGAAGAGAGAAGTACCTGCATTACAAATAATACCTTTACATAATAATTGGCTGGCTTTAATATATAAAATAAATTGTAAGTATGTAGACACACATAATTGTACAGCCACGTGCTTAATGTACATATTTATTCTATAAGGACTGCTATTAGCAATAATTAGAGATTCTTGAGTTCATTTATGTTCATTTATTTATTCATTTAATCAAACCAATTATTTGTCCTGTGATTATAATCGATCTAATAAATACACATTGATAGTGTTAAAATATGTAATATGTATGCAATTCTAAACTGTGTCAGGTTATTGTATGAAGGGTGAGGAACCTCTTGTGTAATCACTACTTGAAAATGTGATGATACGATTCCGTTCTCAATCTAGGTTGATAACTCCGTAGATTATTATGATAGATTTAGTGGGCGTTTAATTGTTATAAATATGACTAATTATGGATTAATAAAGACAGTTCGTTTGTAACTTCTCTCTGAGCTACTGTGTTCATTCATAACAGATAGTGTAATTACTTCCATAATAACTTTAAACCTCTTAAATCTAACTTAATACACGAATTTCCGCAAATGTAAGAAATGTTGCGATTTTAATTGCAAATAATATCAGAACTATTTCAACAAATAAATATATATGGACATACATACGCCCCCGGTGTTAAATTATGTACAGCTCATTGGAGAAATAATTACATGGAGGCTAAGTAAATTTGAATAATTTGGCTCCTTTAACCTATATTTTGTTATAAATAAGGGTTTCACTTCTATACGTAAATATTTAATAAACTTATTTTAACTTCCATTCAAACCTTTCGAAAAATTATCTTGGTCATTTCACTCTTAAGTCAAGCATCATGTGGTTAAAAACATTTAAACCACTGCTAATCTTCCATCTAAAGATTTGTAACTTAATAAAGTGCAATCTATTTCAATGGGACGCTATCTCAGAACAAATCGTCGTACCAAAAAAAATGGCCCATTTATCACCGCTATTTTCAAAAATTCCAAGTTTTATCTCACCTCGTATACGTGCTTGCGATGGCGTTAAAAATTGTGCTAGGAAAGGATCCTTTAGGAGCAAAATGTCAAGGTGGTGTTTTCCTACTTATTTCGCTTACTCTCTTTATAACACGATGTCACTTTGGAGCAACCAATGAACCGTGTCAAAGTTTGTATGCGTTTGTCACGTTTGAAAAAACGATACGAAAAAATGGTAAGGAAAATTAGTTGAAATTGTAAAAATGCCTGAATCCAGGTCATATATCGCCGTACTAGTTCTGAAAAGACATAAGTGCAGTCGATGCTTAATTTAAAAAAAAGTTAACGGCAGTCGATGCTTAATTTGAAAAAGACTTAAGTCTTAAGTTTTAGCCCGACCCAGGGCTTATGTACCCGTGTTGTCCGTCCGTCTGTCCGTCTGTCCGTTCGTCTGTCCGTCTTGCGATAACTCTCTTCAAACTGATCCGATCGACTTGAAATTTGGCACACAGTTACAACATGCAAAGTTAGGAATCAAGTTCGAAGATGGACTTGATCGGTCAAGTGGTTGACCGGTGGGGGCCATTTTAGTGGTATGGGTCAAGGGTGCCGAAAATTAAAAGTAGTCGTAGAAAGCTGAAATTTGGTACAGAGGTAGCTAATAGCTTCTGATGGAAGAATATGAAGTGAAATTCGAAGAATTGTTTTTATGAGTGACCCTAGTGGGTGACCCATACCGATTTTTGAAAATCCTCCGATCGAGCTGAAATTTGTCGTGGATGTCGCCAATGACAACTGGTGGGAGAATATGACTTTAAATTGGGAAAATATTCATTTTGAGAGAACTTGTGGGGTGACCCACACCGATTTTTCAAAGTCATCGGATTTAGGCGAAATTTGGTATATACCATGATAACGGCTTCTAATGAATAAATTTGAACTGCAATTTGAAAAATTATTAAATTGTGGGGCCGTATGGGATGACTCATACCGATTTCTCAAAATCCTCCAATCGAACTGAAATTTGGCATGTTCGTTCCAAAGACGATACAAACTAATAATATGAAGTCAATTCACACATATTGTTAACCATTGTGTGATAATCCCTGGGTCGGGCTCCGCAAAGCTTTACTAGAAGTTTTTAAATTAAGCATCGACTGCACTTAGGTCTTTTCAGAATTAGATCGACGATATGTATTCTTTCCATTCCTTTAGGTCCACTCCCCCCACCATCAATGGAGGGCTTTCTCCTCGCCCAGTTTCTCAAACTCTTTGCCGTCACTTCTGTCATAATCCCACTTATGGTTGTCGTGCTGCAACTTCACAACCCTTGTGCCGTTCCTTTTTTCGGATCAATGTCGCCATTTTGCAAAGGCAATACATGGACACCTCCTCCCACGTGGGTTTGGTTATTAATGTTAAGCACTGAATACTGGTTATGGTTACATATCGCGTACGATGGAACTTTCTACATGTTTTACACCTTCTTTCCCGCTATTGTTTGCATGCTGGATTATCTCCAATATGTGGGAAGGTGAGTAAGAATACAATTTAAGGGTACGAACCACTTATGTTTGTGCGTCATATTACCTCATTTTGACACTTCTTGAATTATTAGTCAGATTTGGGGAAGAAATTAAAAATTCTGCCTAATCGAGATTTTAAATTGCCTTTTTGTTGTTGGATTAAAAATATTCAATATTTTGTAAGTTTTTCAATGAGGAGATCTAAAAAGTTGCAGCGGAGATTTAGAAATAAATCCCCTCATTGAAAGAGATTCAAAATATTGAATTTATATTTTTAATCCAACAACAAGAAGACAATCTAAAACCTTGATTAGGCAGAATTTTCAATTTCTTCCTTAAATCTGACTAATAATTCAAAAAGTTTCAAAATGGAGTAATATGGCGCACATAAGTGGTTCGTACCCTTAACAACTTATATGATCTGTATAATAATTTCAATTGTTGTTTACACTGATCAGATTAATAAATGCTATGGACCTAGGAGATAATAAGGAAATTCTTGTAAGACAAGTTTTGCACACATATCGTTCCATCCAATTGTTGGATAACGTTCAAAATTCTGCCATGAAGGGTGAAATGGTACCAGCAGTGCTCGGACTTATTCCACAAATCCAAGTGTTTTCCCTATTCGTGTGCATTCGTCTCTATTCAACAAGTCAAAATCAACGGAAATAAAAGAAAGTTTGGAAATTGTATGCATTCTAGCAGCCAAGGTATTTATAACCAAATTTGCAAGAGTCGTATCCGTCAAAATTTTTATAAATACATTGGCTGCTAGAATGCATACAAATTCGGGTATTTTGCTGTCAGAGTTGAACCAAGGGCTGAAGAGTTTTCCGGTTAGGTCTAGTTTTAGAAAGGAATTGAGAGCGTGTCGACCAACTAAGGTGCAGTTTGGACAGAATTTTGTAGATAAAGGAACACCCCTTGTGATAGAAAACTTTTGCATTAATCAGACCGTATCGGTACTACTGCTACATAACAAGAGTATTTAGTGGTTGTTTGAGTTAACCTTTTGGGAGACCCATTAACTTTCTCCTTAGCCGTGAAGCTCGGAAAAAATGTTCTTTTAATTTGACATATTATTGTACATCAAATGTATGTAATATAAAATACAAATGTAATTTTTGTTTGATATAATTTCATAATTCTGTGTAAGAACTTTGTGTTTTTCTCAAAGTGTGATTTAGAACATTATAAGGCAAAACTGCCACTTAGGTAAAAATTATGCAGCCAAAATTATGAAAATTAAAATTGTTCAAATTGATTTATAAAACAAGTTATGTTATGTTGTTGGTAACTTTTCTGCACAAAGATGTACCTATAAAAAATTTAGACTAGTTTTTTCAAAATTTCTTGCTACACTATATCGTAATTACCATAGTGAAATAGAATTATTTAGTTTTTTTCAATAAGTCGCAACATTTATGTGCGACTTATTCAACTTAGGGGTTGGGGTCCAGAGGAATAGAAGCAAGTAGTTTCCGTCGGCATACAACATGCTTTAACGGCTGGAGGCCGACAGAAACCCCTGTCCCTACTTCCTCTGTTCTAATTTACACCGTTTCAACGCCGTCGTCTTGATCCCCTGAAACCAGGCAGAGAAAGCAGCAGGGGGCTCACCGTCACCAGACCAAATCACGACGACACCAACGTAGATAGAGAGAGGAAGAGAGATTAACTTATCAAAAACTTCAAAGATTTTTAAGTTTCAACGCCGAATTGTAATTCAAATATAATGTGATATTAGTATTTAAGATAACTAAATTAGGATTACTATTATAAAATAAAGTAAAATCTATAATTCGGCATTAAAATATGAAAATAGGGTGAAAGGTCAAAATCTTGGAAACGGGTGGCCAGTGAGTCGAAATACTTTACATTTCGTCCTAACTTATCGAGTTTTAGCCCGAGTCAGGGCTTATGGAACCGTCATGTCCGTCCGTCCGTCTGTCTGTCCGTCTGTCGAACCGATAACTCTCTTTAAACTATACCGATCGACTTGAAATTTGGTATACATTATACTTGACCCAAATGTAAGGACGAGTTCGAAGATGGGCCAGATCGGTCCACTGGTTGACCGGTGGGTATGATTTTGGTCGGTGGGGGTCAAGGTGACAAATTTTAAAAATACCCGTAGAAGGCTGAAATTTGGCATAGAGATAGCTGATGGACACTAATGGAAGATTACGATGTAAAATTGGGAAAATTTTACTCTAGAGGGACCCTAGCGGGAAATCGTCCGATTAAGCTGAAATTTGACATAGAGGTTACAATTTGTAACTTACAAATGGTTCCTATAGAATGAATATGAAGTGAAATTAGAAAAATTTTTATCTGGAGGGATCCTATGGGGTAACCCATACCGATTTTTGGATATCGTCCGATCGAGTTGAAATTTGGTATGAAAGTTAATAATGGCTTACAATGTGAGTTTCTGGCGTAGAAGTGGAAAAATTTTGAACCAGAGGTACCCTATGGGGTGACTCATACCGATTTATGGAAATCGTTCAATTAAGCGAAATTTTGCATGTATGTAGTTAATGGCTCATAATGAAAGCATATGAAGTGAAATTGGAAAAAAAATTTAATCTGGGGGGACGCTATGGTGTGATCCATACCGATTTTTGAAAATCGTCCAATTAAGCTGAAATTTGGGTGGAAATTTTTGATTTTGATGTAAAATAATAGGATTGACTGATAAATGACTGTGCAAACCCTGACTCGGGCTATACGGAGTCTGCACTGCAGGTTTTTGATATGGTAACAGTTTCAACAGGATCTGCGAGTCGCAATATCCCCCCTCTCCTCCTCAGATTTGTCTTCACCCTTTCACCCTGAATTTTGTAATTTCTCACCATGTGAAACTACAATGTTTCTACCATCTATAGAAAATAGTACAATTGTAACCATGGAGAATTTCTATGATGCTGTTTCAGCGCAAACATTATATTCGTAAAAAATATGTAAAGTTATGTCCGAACAAGGTAGATCCAGTTTAACATGAAACATTGGCAGAAACATTTATAAACTTCATATACATAGGTATGTCAATCATAAATGCACAAGTCTAGTTCCAAATTATTTATGTTGTCATATTTTAATTAGATCCAAAGCTAATAGATATATGAGATGCTTGCCATTGTTCCGAGTGTGTTACACATCTTGCTAATTTTCTAGGCGTCGATGATCATAATTTTTGAAATTTGTTTTAAAGTAAAATTTTAAACTTTTCCAAATATTATCTTAAACTAATGTAATGCATTACAAATTGTACACCGTACGACTATAGATATTCGTCGCACTTATTTAGGTTTTCTAATCTTTTATTTTTGAATAGCATAAATTTAGAATACTATGATCCTCGACGCCATTTTAATAAGCAAAATGATGGAAGTTTTGCTCTTACGTATATGGTTTGTTATTTCCAAAACAATGGCACATCCCCCATCTCTGATTTCTCGATGTTAAGGAGGAAGGTTTGTTGGTGCATGTAGAGTTAGTAGGAACAAATAATAGGATGTCAATTTATTGAGTTTCGTCGAAGGAGTCAAAATAGTGCAATTTTTAGCGTTTTTTCTTGGCACATGTGTGTGATTTTTTATTTCGAAAACCAAGACACCCCCCACTCCCAATGTTTGCGTATGTTAGGAGGGTTGGGTAAGTGTTCAAAATGAACATCATTAGAACCTAATAGTAGCCTTCATTGACGGTTTATGGTTGAAAAACCTAAAAAAATCATTGGAAAATTGAACATCTTTTTAGGCTTGTTCATCAAACTGTGGCTAATTTGAACAATAATACCGACAGTTACATTATATTTAGTAAAAGTCCAAACGGTACAAAAGCAAATGAATTGATGGCATCGTATCTAAATTTAAGTACTTGAATAACTTAGAAATTGTGTATATATCAATTTATATATATAATAAAGGTATTCATTTCCATTATTAAATTTTAGCATCTATTATATAATTTACAAAAGTCCGGTCAAAAATTTTCCGTGACATCCCAGCATTCTGATTGGTTGTTGATATTTGAATTGACCAATCAGGGCATAGGAATTGTTTATAATTTGTTTGGCATACAAGTAGTTATGGAGAATTTTGGTGCTGACAGGTGAAATTATTTCAAAATAAAAATAAATAAGATAAATAAAATTTTTAGGAGTTTGGGGAAGTGGTATTTTTTGCTGGTTGCGACGCGTGGCTATGAGTGAATATGGAAAAGTGAGTCCTGGGGACGAACGGAGTCAGCTGATCATATCTCATCCAGAGGGGTGTCAATCGATAGCTCTGGATCATACGATCATATACTATAGAATTTTGTGGGATAAGAATTAGCTGTGAATTCTAGAAAAACTGATATTTTTGAGTTAATTCAACTTTATATTTTCCAATATATCAATTTTTCTAGAATATCACATTTCACAGCTAATTCTTATCCTACAAAATTCTATAATACATAAAAATTTATTTAAAATTTATAATCCAGATGATCGCTTGACATCCCTCTGGACGGGATCACTTGACCCGGGTCGTCTCCAGGGCCATAACTACTTGCATACCACCTTGAAGGAGTATGGGGTCAGGGGGTATTAGATATCAGAGTATGCAATGAGGGGGGAGGTGGATTAAAAATAATTCCTTGGCAACCTAGAAAAAATTTCTTAGCAACGGCAATAAAAATGTTTGTCAACAATAAAAACATCTTTAAAACGTCAAAAAATATCCTCAACAACGAAAAATAATTGCTGCCCTTCTTTATGACGGGCTTCTATACTAGTAAAAGTATATTTCGCTCGGAAATATAATAGATGGGATTTCTAAATGGGATTTTATAATTTTTTCAAACTTAATAAACCCTCTTTTATCGCTCTCTAACATTTATTTGATCTGATTTAACAACTTGTTGTTATAGACAGCAACCATTTGGAACTAAACATACACATTTTGGAAACGGAATGTATATTTCATAGGAAAACAATCTGATTCCAAAGTATTACGACGCGGTGACAAACTATGATTCCAAGTTGATATGAAAAACAAATCTCAAACACATATCGGTGTAAAACTTCCCCCGTTCTAAAAGCCGGCGTTTAATGTCTACCATTTTTATAATTGTTACGTAATAAATACTTTACTACTTCTCTTTTATTTATACTTTTGTCCAGATTATAGATTTTTTAATTGTCATATTTTCATGAATTTTAGTACATTCTTTTCAAAAGTATTCTCCAAAACATTGTCTCCAAGATTAAGGCAGGTTGACCTAAAGGGTGTTAATAAAGTCCGATCCCATGCATTTTTTGGAGCGTGGTTGTTACAAATTCAGCTGGAACTTTTGAACCAGTGAAGTTATTTATTTCAAATTTTTACCATGGGAGGAACAACTAAACGTGTAAGTCATGAGCATCTTAGAGTTGAGATACAAACATTGCATCAGCAGGGGCTTAAACCTACAGAAATTGTGCAAAAATTGGGCTGCAGCCGCAGAACTGTTTGGAAATGGAAGAATAAAAATTTTGTCCACGACAAAAAGCGACCAGGGCGACCCAGAAAGGTGTCACCTACCACAAAAAGAATGATTAAAAACAGACTTTGCAAGAAAACCGGTAGTTCATTACGTAATTGAGCAAGGGAGTTAAATGACTCAAAACGCTATAAAGAGAAGAAGAAGCAAATTAACTGTGTGACCGTGCAAAAATTTGTGAAAACTACGAAGTGGGGTCACACAGCTTACAAACTAACCAAAAAAACCTCTCATGTCACAAAAATATATCGATGACCGTCTGAAATTTGAAGAACTCCTTCAGAAAAGTGCCCATTTGAGTGAAAAAAGACTTGGTGAAGAATTGCGCAGTCACATCCTTTGGACTGACGAATCTATTATTGAACTATATCCAAAATTGAACCAACAAAATGTTCGTTACAGGACAGAAAACAAATCGGATGTACCATCAAGAGCGATCCCAAAATTCGGGCTTAAAGTTATGGTAGCGGGTGGATTTTGTGCACGTTGCGTGACCCCTCTACATATCATACCAAAAGGCCAATCAGTCAATGCAAAGCATTATATGGAAAAAATATTACCTATCTATTTCGATAGCATGGGGAACAAGGAAATATTTCCGAATGAAAGAAAAATAGTTTTCATGCAGGATGGTGCTATAGCCCATACAGCAAAAGCGAGTTTGAGTCTCATCAAGACGCAAGTTTCAACGGTCTGGAGCAAGGGGGTGTGGGCCGCTAACGGCCCAGATTTGAATCCCCTGAAGAACCAGTGGTCCATACTTAAGGAAAATGTATACAAAGAGCCACAACCCCGGACGAGGGAAGAGCTAGTAAAAAAAAGTTCAAGATGTATGGAATTCGATTTCCAGAGGCACATTGGAAAAATTAGCACAGAGCCTTAAACAAAGAGTTGAGGGCATGGTTAAAGTAAATGGTAACAAGACCAAATACTAAGGTAAATATGTCGAACATTTTTTGTAAGTATCACGGGTAGTGTTTTTTTATACTAGCCTTCACTTTTTTACAGGAAAAATGGGATCGGACTTTATTAACACCCTGTATGATTAATTTATGTAGGT